TATGTGGCTGAGTCAAGGCCCAGGGTCATTCCTCAGCTGAATTAGGGGCCTAATATTGTCAGCAGCAAGGAACAGATATCTCCAGCAAGCAAGTTGGAGTAGAAGGCACGTAGCTTGGGGGGAAAGAGATGTGGACACAGCTCTCTAATTACACCCTCCCAGAACGGCAGGAAAAGACATTTCCTCACCTCACCAGAATGCAATGAGATCTGAATATGCTAAATGGCATATTCTGAGTAAACCAAGACCTGAAGTGATGCTTGGCTTCTCTACTCAGCTGCTCAGTACTGAAAACACCTTCCTAACTCCCTGGTGCAGGTGTAAACTGTGGGAGGAAAGGTTATGTATTCAGAGAGGCACTGAATCTGCTCCCATCACAGGTGAGTACTTAAAATAGACTTGCAGTAGTGATGCAATGACTCACTCCTGTGCCTGAGATAACTCACTCCACCTGTTTCACTAAAGAGAGGGAGGAAGGAGGTCGCTGCTTTGCAACCACATGAAAGCCCCAATTTCCAAGAATTTATGCCTTCAGGTGAAAACTCACCAAACAAGTCTCTCAGGCTTCAAAGAAGAGAAAGCTTCAATACCACCAAGCCTGCGCTTTGCAGGAGCTGTGACTTGCCCATGACAATGGTCCCATTGGTGTAGATGGGACCCAGTGTCACAGGGACCCAGCAATCCAGCAGCATTTCCAGCCATGGATTTCCCTGGACTTGCTCCACTCCCAACAGTCCTGCAACACCCAGCACCTACATTTTGATGTGTTACTGCTAGCACCTTGTCCTTCAGGATCAATGAAATAGCAGCATTTCCCATGTCTTATTCTAGGTTTAGCTAACATAAACTGAAACCCAAAAATTCCCCAAACCAAGGAAAATTCAGCTCCATGACTATTCCATTAAGAATGATACCTCTGGAAAACAATAGACTATATTGTGTTTACTGTGCTTTGTTTTCCTGGTGTTCATCTCTAGGAATGTTTCCCACTTGGGCAAGAAACACCAGACATGCTAAGAGCACACATTTGTGGGTGCATGCAGCCCTTTATCGCACCAACATATCCTGTCTGTCTGGTGACACTGATCTGGTTTGCTTTTTAGAGCAAGCCTGTGACAACTTGGCCCTGCCACACGTTCCTATAGCTGCAGGACCCCCAGTGGTGGCCAGAAGCCCCCACTTGCTGTGGTTTCAGCTGCAGGGTCTAAGGTGAGCAGCAAAGGCTGGCAGGGGATGGTAATATATTTAATATCTATTAATATAGATGGAAAAGAATAGATGAGCATTTGGGCACATTTGTTTTCTTCCATACCTGGGAAAGAGTTCGTACATCAAAGAACATGTTTTCCAACCCAACTGTATACTACAATTGGTCTAATAAAAATGTATTTCATTTGCCTACAGAAATCACTCTTCTGGGCACTTAACAGCCATAAAGGATGCTGTTTTCTATTCCTGGCTTCCTTTAAAGGCCAGGTCTTGCTGCTGTATTATTGAATTCACTAGACACATGGTACAGCCCAGTGAGCACTGCTGTAGGAGTATTCACGTTATAGTTCTCTAGGCTTGATCCTCCACGCATATAAATGGATTTTACACTCATGGTACTCCTGAGACACCAAGGCAGCTGCTTCAGGTTTTCACCAGTTTAAGTAAGATTAGTATTGGATCCAAGAACTTGTGTGCCTTGCAACAGCCCACGTGTTGCAGACACTTAACCTTGATGAGCTCATATCTGTGTTTCCAGAGGACAAAGAGTAGGACTGGGATACTCAACTGGGATGCGTGCAAACTGATGGTTAATGGTGGGAATGGACAAGAAAACCTAGATGAAAACAGGCAAAACTGGTCTAGGATCTGGTTGTGATGCATGTGCCAGCAAGCAGCTTCTGGTCCTTTTGGCATCCCTGAGGCAATGTGTAAGGGATGGTTCGGTCAAAAATGATGTATTAAAACCAGAACCTCATGTCAACGCCACTGATCATCTGTGGGCTTAAGGCTGCTCCTGCCACCCGCTGCTTCTGAGCTCTTATTCTCCTCTCCTGTTATTGAAACAGCCTAAACATCATGTTTTAGTTATAAAGTGAGTTTAGTGGATAGAAGGGTGGGAGGGAAGGGGGATTAAATTTACTGCTTCAGTGACTACAGATCTGAAATAAATCTCCGATTCAATGATAGATCAATAACATCAAGATTGGGTTTAAATTATTAATAAACTATGAGAAATGAGGATAATTATTCTATGAGTCACAGCTCTCTAATGCACTGCACATTTTTTCCCTGAGACATCTGCATTGAAGCACAACCTGACTATCTTTTGGCAGAAAGCTGTAGCCAAGCAGTTAATGTTTTTTGTTTTGCTAGCTAAGCATTTCATGAACCCTAGACAGCCCAGTGACAGTGTACTTCACTCATGGAGAAACCCTTAGGCCAGGATCCCCTAAAACACTGAGGTGTCTTATGAGTCCCTCGAAATCAATGTGATTGATTTGAATGACATTTGTGAATGGTTCAGAAGGCCCTCAAATGTCCTTTGAAACCTGGATGTCTGGAGATAGAGAAGTTGTGCTAGCCTAAAAGGAGATACTGGCCTTGAAAAATGGCCTTTGATGGTTGCAGAGGCCCATCTAACTGGTGGCAAGAAGGAGGGACAACCTGAGGACTGCTGGAGGCAGAGAGGGGAGGAACAGTTTTTGCACATTGCTGCTAGACTGCAATGACAGCACCATCAAACAGATGGTGGATTTCAAGTGAATCAGCTCCCCCTTTTCAGGCAAAAAGAGAGGGAACTATCTGCCTGAGGAGGCCTTTTAAAATCAAGAAGTTCAAAACTAAAATATTCCTCCATTCTTGGTCATGACCATCTCTGTTGACTGAGACAGCTCACACTGACACAGTTAGGCTGGAGATCCTGAGAACATCTAGGCATCCTCCCACCTCAAGCAGCTGTCATCCCTCAGCTGTAGCATTATGCCTTAGGGTAGTGATGGATAGCAGCTTTTAAGGGGCAGCTCACTGCAAAATCAGCTTATGCCTGCTCTTTGACAGAATGGGGTCAAATGGGTTCAGAACACTCTTGATGATGCTTGTCAGCTGCTGGGCTTTCAGGTGAGGTGCTCAGCACTGTCCTGGTTTACCAGGAGGGTACCTTACTTAAGAGGAGAGAAACAGAACAGAACTTAGGATATCAATAATGAAAGGTATTTATCCCTGTGAAAGTTAAGTCTGCAGCACACAGAGGAGAGAGAAGCACTCATGAAGGTAAGGACAGCAGAGCGGAGAGGGGTAACAGCCAGCCCACCAAAATGGACAAGGACTATTGGTAGCAGCTGTGCACAAAGTCTTCTATGGTCTTACTGCTTTCCTTGCCTCTAGCTCACTGGATGAAATAAGGTTATATCAGTCCTAAAATCGCTTTTCTGTTTATCTCAGTTTACGCAGTTCTGCAAATGGCATTAGGTGACCCCCACTCAGCTGATGGTATGGTATCGCTCCACACTCCCATGGACTGCAGCTCTTCTGGGACATCCCTCCTTTACCATAGCACATCCAGCAGCAACTGGGGCTTTCCATACACCCTCCCTCTGTCTCCTTTAACCTAAAGTTGTCAGTCAGGGTACAAAATCATTCTGAGCCTACAACACGGAACTATCAAGGTGTCCAGACACTTCTATCTGTGCAATGTAGGGATAATTTCTTATAGCCCCTGTGATATACTAATTTAAAGATGCCTGTGGCCTTGACAAATAAATAAAAAAAAAAAAAAAAAAAAAAAAAAAACCACAAAAAAAATTAGGACAATGAGATACCGAACAAACTGTGTTTGGTGCTTGACTGTATTCTGATTCAGGGTAAGGAGTGAAGGGCTTTTTTAATTTTTTTTTTTTAATTTATCTTCATTAGTAATTCAACAAGGCCTTTACACATCACTGATTTCTTATTAGTTACCTATAAATTATAAAGGATGCTGGGCACAGCACACACAAATTAATGCATCTGTGGATGAAAACTTTTGAGGAATAGGGGGAGTAGTGATGCTCTGGTGCCTCTGTTGTGTGTTTGGTCTCCTGGCTCTGCTGAGTTAGTAAAATGCCATCATCACTGCCTTACACATGAGAAGCAGAGCCCAGGAAAGGGCCATGTCCAGGTTAACAGGGACCGGTATCAAGCCCAAATCTCATGGAAGCCCCCGTTCCTAGGACCAGGGGGTAGGTGAGAGACTCAGGACACTTCCACAGTGTTTGCTTGAGGATGAGATGCAATCATACTGAGCAACCTGCCTGCCCATTAAAGGTCAGGGTACAACCTCAACAATGCATGGGCAGCTGGCTGCATGCACCCCAGATCACAGTCAGTCCCTTAAGGACAGGTCAGGTCAGGCCAGGACTGCTGGGTCCTTTCTCACAAACCTATCAGGTGGAGGGAAAATCTCTTTTTTCTTTCATTTGTGTAGTGACTTTCTGTTAGCCAGAAAACTCTGACTGATTTCCCTTGATGTCACATCAGATGTTTTACCTCAGTCCATAACATTTTCAAAGTCTGGGGAAGAAATAGAGTCTGCACTCTTTTAGGCTGCCAGTTATAGATTTATAACATTTATTTCTACAAATATTAAAAATTATATTTATATATATAAAAGTCATAACATATTTAAAATTTATATGAATAAAATTTATAAACTAAAATGAAAAAAACACCTTGATGCATGTTCATGTAGCAATGCAACAGCCTTCCCTTATACAGCTGCTTATATCTATTTCGTTTGGTGCCAAGGTAACATCTGGTAACATCTTTAAAGAAAAAACTATAAACTTCCTCGGATATTCCTATAAAGATTGTTTTCAGTGAACTGAGTGCCATTTAAAGTACATCAAAGAAGAATTTGGTCTTTGTCTCTTGAACAAGTGACTCTATTCAATTTCTTTTCTTTGCCTTCTCTCTGCAAGGAAGATTAGATATGTCTGTATGTTTATGTTGGACAGACTAAAGGAGTGAGCAACGTCTCCAGCTGGTGTAAATCTGTGTTGCTGCAGCAGTGTCAGTGGTGTGAAGGGTGGTATTATGCTGATTTATTGTGGCTGGAGAATCAGACCTCCTTTTCCTACCCAACCGGAAGAGCAGCCTGTAAAACAGAAGTCACACATCTCAGTTGATTTGAGAGATACTGCATGGGGTTTATTTGTCTAACAAAATAAAAAAAAAATTTAAAAAACTCTCTGCAGAGGCTGGCAGCATCCCTTTTAATACAGCAAATGTAGAGGGGCCCAAAGACAACCACTGAGACAGGCATAACTTCCAGTTTATTAATAGCAGGGGCACAGCAGTGGCTGCCAGGCTGTGAATGTCTCGGGCATACTGTAAACTTCCAGTTGTTAGGTTTTCCTGCTGCTCACCTGTGTATGGCATAAATACAGCCTAATGCGATTGAATTATATAGAAAAATGTTACCAATTTCTCTGCTTACTTGGATTCCTTCGGCACAGGTCCCGTGGGCTGAGCTGGTGGAGAATATGTTGCTGGTGCTGGAGGGGAGAGAGAGAGGGCTTTCTTTAAAAATAAAAAAAGATCCTCTTTTTGTGTAGAACAGCGAGGATTTTTTTCCTGCTTTGAGATTTCTTGCCATTTCATTATCTTGTATTTCAGACAAAACCTTCCCACCTTAACGAGGAACATTTTTCCCCATCAGTTTTAATGGTACGATAAATTGTGGGAGAGCAAAGAAAAAGCTCCTGAAAATGAACCTTAAAAAAAGTTTCTGGAGACTGAAGACAGGCTCTGCAGAGGAAGAGACAAGAGTTACAAGCTAATTTACTTTGCCTTTCTGTTCATGTTTCATTTGTAAACAGCTTGGGTTTCCTTATTTTATGGACTCTTTAGGAGGACATATTCCCATGGATGTTTCAGCTTCCCTTTGGCTGCACAGAGGCAATGGGGTGCAGGGGACTGCGGTTGCCCCTCTGTGGGAAGGTCATGATGCTACAAGAATGAGGAGGAAACCGCCAATTTTGGCCCAAACAGCTCATACAGTCAGATGTGGTGCCCTGAGGGGTTTGCTGTCAGAGCAGCACCTTTCTCCTCCAGGTTTACATTAATTCAGTGGCCACAGGCTGCCTGTTTCCCTCTGTGCTGAGCATGACAGACCTGGGGTCTGTTACAGCCCTCATCTACCAGGTTAGTTGTACATCTCAGCTTGTCTCAAATGCTTTATCAGGTAAAACAGCTCTTATGCAACCTACCTCAGTGTCTGCATACCATGTGGTGTTATTTCCAAAAAATCAGAAAGGGAAGATGGAAGAGATTTAGGGCAGGCATATGCAGAAGGTGATGGGAGAGAGGAGAGGTGCCTACGGACTGGGGAAAGAGGGTGAACAAGAAGGCACTTGGAGAGGGCAATAGGGTGGCAGGGGAGAAAAGAAAATGTAGGAGAGTAAAACACATAGAATAAAGGAGAGGTATGGCTATGACAGGGAGCTAGAAGAAACATCAAAAGCATTGAAGTGAAGGTTACTGCTCAGATTACATAAGCCATCCTTATGAAAGACAAAAAACAATGAAAAGAGACAAAAAGAAGCAAAAAAAGCCCCAGTGAATCGCTGTACTGTACAAATTCTTGAAGACATTAAATGTTGACACTGGGTCCCTAATGAGGCATTCCCATATTTGATATTCATTGGTAAATCTTCTTGTGTCTAAATACTAACTCTCTACTGAAACAGTCTGAAACAAACTTCATATATCATCTGAATTTTAATTGTGATGTAGAAATCCAAGAAATGACTGGTTGAAATAGCACTGAGAGATATTTTTGCATGCATTTGCTTCCTGTCTTTTGTGGCTGTTTCAGACCCTCAGCCTCTTCCCAGGACAGATTTGTCCCCAAGGATGCAGCTCACATGTATGCTTGATAAGAATACTTTATTTCCACATGGAAAGCTCTTAAAAAATAAACCTTACATGTGTGAACAGTTGATCTTTCTCCTTCTTAGGAGCTGGCAAATTTACCTTGAGAAAAATCTGAAAGTGAGCAGAAAACACTTCTGTTGGTAAACCCCCAAGAAGGACCAATTCATGAATTCCTTAGGAAATAGGTAACCTTTTACTTCAAGGAATAGCCTGTCTCTTTCCTGCTGGCTGTGCATTTCTGTCTGTGCCAAAGCAGGCTCTTCCATAGCAGGTGAAATACCTGCTTACAGCATGTTCAAAGAGGAATTATGGAAAAAGTTCAACCTTTCCTTCAAAAAAAATGATTTCTACTTGGGATAAGGCCAAATTGTCCCACTTGGATCCCTGTTTGTGATCGAGGCTCTCCTGCAGAAAGCCATACTTTCTCTGTGTAGGTAACCCAGTTGCAGTTCCCCATGGCTGCTGTGTGGTCCCCTTCCAGTGGCTTTTGATGGAGCCACTTGTCCCTTTATCACCCACTCGCAGGGGACAGCTGTGACCCTGTCCTGCATACAGCCACTAGCCACATCCTGACTTGCAAGCAGTGTCACCACAGGCAGCCAGAACTGAAATGGGACAAGTTCTTAAAATCCTTAAAAAAGGGGGGTTATCCCCTATAACTTAGAGGGGTTTCCTTTCCATGGATTAACTGTATTTTTGTCCCTGCTAACTGCCTCCAAACATTGGCTGGATTACTTTATGAGCTGTAAAATATTATTAAAAGCAGGGATATATATATATATATATACATATATATATATATATATGAAGTAAACATAGCTTGAGATATCTCTTAAGGCAGATAAATGTCTAATATTAATTAACTTGCATTTACATTTAACAGAGTAACTCTTATCCAGACAAAAGTAAAATGGATGCTACCTAAAGTGGATCAGAGGGTTTTGAGTTTAAACTAGGTGGACTATTTGGTAGATAAGGAACTGGCTGGATGGATGCAGCCAGAGTTGTGGTCCACGGCTCTATGTTCAGATGGAAGCTGCTGACCAATGGTGTCCCCTCGGGGCTCTGTTTTGGGACTGATACTCTTTAGTATCTTTATCAGTGACACAGACAGTGAGATCGAGTGCACCCTCAGCAAGTTTACAGATGAAAACAAAGCTGAGTGGTGCAGTTGATGCAATAGAAGGATGGGATGCCATACAGAAGAACCCAGACAAGCTTGAGAAGTGAGCCCACAAGAGCTTCATGATGTTCAAGTCCGAGTGCAAGGTGCTGCACCTGGGTTGGGGCAGTCCCAGACGTGAGTACAGACTGGGAGAAGAACTCATTCAGAGCAGCCCTGTGAAGAAGGGCTTGGGGGTTCTGGAGGATGCAAAGCCAGACATGATCTGGTGATGTACTCTTGCAGCCCAGAGAGCCAACCACATCCTGGGCTACATCAAAAGAGGTATGACCAGCAGGTTGAGGGAAGTGATTTTGGCTCTCTAATCTGTCCTTGTGAGACCCCACCAGGAGTATTGTGTTCAGCTCTGGGGACCTTAGCACAAGAAAGACATGGAGCTGTTGGAGTGGGTACAGAGGAGGGCCATAAAGATGATCAAAATGGTGGAGCACCTCTCCCATGAAGACAGGCTAAGTGAGTTGGGGTTGTTCAACCTGAAAAAGAGAAGGCACCAGGGAGATTTCAGTAGAGGCCTTTCAGCATTTAAAGGGGGTTTATAAAAAAGAGGGAGAGAGACTTTGTACGTGGACAGATAGTGACAGGAGAAGAGGTAATGGTTTTAAATTGAAAGAGGGGAGATTTATATTGACCCTGACTCACTTGGTCAGAGTATTGTGCTCTGACAACACCAAGGCTGGGGCTTTGATCCCCGTACAGGCCGTTCACTTAACAGCTGAACTCAATGATCCTTGTGAGTCCCTTTCAACTCAGAATATTCTGTGATTCTTCTGTGATTAGATGTTTGGAGGAAATTCTTTACTGTGAGGATGGTGAGACACTGGCACAGGTTGCTGAGAGAAACTGTGGATGCCCTATCCCTGGCAGTGCTCAAGGCCAGGCTGGATGGGACTTTGAACAACCTGGCCTAGTGAAAGGTGTCCCTCCCCATGGTAGGGAGGTTGGAACTAGATGATCCTCAAAGGTACCTTCCAACCCAAACCATTCTATGATGATTCATTCTATGATTCTATTATATGCAAACAGAAATGTAGAAAAGATCAAGGGCAACTGACTTATTCTCTCTCCTTTCCTCTAAAAGATTGCTAAAAAAATACCTGTTAATATATTTCCTTTCTTTGGGGATCTTTCAGGAACCTCAGTTGTAATTTTTTCTTGTTTTGCAGGAGGGGATGAGGAGACTCCTTCAGGCTCTGCATCGCAGACAAAATCTCTGTTGGTTCTCCTACTTGTCTCTTTGTCGAAGAGAGCAAGATCAGTCTGTTCAATATAATCTTGTATTCTCTGCATTTTGAAGGCTTCTTTAGAAGCTGCATATTCCTCTTCCAGCCTTTTCAAATTTTCCACTGTGAGAGCAGAACTGGAATCTGATGACCCAGTCCCAAGGGTAAATATTTTTGGTTGGGACTGGTTATTGCAAGACCCTGACAGCTTGCTTCCATTAAACATATCTGCAATGCATTAAGGAGATGAGAATCTTTAGCAACAGGCAAGGTCAATTCATCATTCTTGTAACAAAGAAAGAAAGAAAAGAGAAATCCCATTAGTCATTTACTCCTGACGGGCGTATTGATTGATGTAGTTAAAATGTTCACACTAAGATAACCTTATTAGATTGAAAATCACTTTCTTTTCAAGAGGATCTACTAGGCTCCAATTCAACAAAGCACTTAAACAAATACCTGATATTAAGGGCATGCCCAGGTCCTGTTGGTGGGATTTTCTTAAATAGTTCCCATCCAACACTTAAAGGCCAAAGCTTAAGATAGCTACAAAGGAAGGGCATAATGCCTTATCTGCATTTTAGATAGGACACACATCAGTGATTTCATTATTAACCTAGTTTGCTTTGGCTGTAAAATTCTGCACAGCTAAAACTTACTGTGTGCAGGCTGGAATAGAGTGCACTTTATATTCATTACTAGTACTCAGACAAATTATTTTGGACATCTTTTGCTATATGCTGATGGAGAAAAAAATAAAAATGTACAGTGGAATCTGTTGAATCTGTTTAATTGGACCTGCTGGTGGCCATCCGACCACGCCAATTAAACAAAGATAAACAAAAGCAGCTCTCAGAGGACCTGCGGCGAATAAACCCATGGTGAATACTGCATGATTTTTGTTATTGCATTATTCTATATAGTTCTGTGTCTGAAACGTAAACTAGCCATAAAAAGCGACTCACCCTCCTGTTTGCAATATCTGCTTAATTGTGTCTCCATCTTCTGTTCACCCACTCAGTCTGTTTAATGTCAAAAGATAAGGGGAGGAAAAACGATAGGGTTAGTTTGGCAGAACTAGTGCTTTGCAACCTCTTCTTTCCCTGTCTACCCCTCCCTATCAATTCCCATTGGGCATGATGCTCCCTGCTCTGTCTGACTGCAGACTGAGATGGCTGTTTTCACCTGTTTTATCAATGCAGAAAGCCCAAAACCCTGCAGTGCTCTGCATGTCAGCTTTGTGGCACCCATGAATCACCTCCAAACTTTGCAGACCCCTCTGTCCACGTGAGCGGAGTGGTCTCTACCAGCACTGTGGGAGCCCACAGACATACTCTCACTCAGGCAGTGCAGGTGTACTGGGAATCGCTCAGCAGGACATGCTCTTCGCCCCTTGGCTGAGTTTCCCCAGTGGAATAATTTCTGAGAAGAGAGTAGGCTAAGGCCAAGCAAGACCAGCACAGCACTGTTGAAGGTGAACACGCTGACTAGACAAGGTCCCAGCCAGCACTGTTTCTGAGGTGCTCTTGCAGTGGTCACCCCTTACCATTTGTGTGCTAAAGAAAAATGTGTGTGGTTAACACATTTTAATCCACAAGGCTGAACTAGTTTACTTGCTTAATACAAGTGTCTGATACAATGAACTCAAATGCTATGGAGAAGGACAGGTACAGGGTGTCGGTATTTTCCCCTTGTCAATCACAGAGTCACAGAATATTCTGAGTTGGAAGGGACCCACAAGGATCATTGATTCCAACTTTTAAGTGAATGGCCTATATGGGGATCAAATCTGTGACCTTAGTGTTATTAGCACCATGCTCTGACCAACTGAGCTAATCTCAGGTTCAAACTTATACATCTCATTAAAAGAAATCACTGAGTTGGTCTGGCAAAAGCCATATTCCCTAACTCTGAACTGATTCACATTAAGGATGGTCTTTAATTCTCCTCTTATTCTTCTCCTGTGATATTTTTTTTGGTTTTCTGGAACTTTCCTTCTGGTTGAGATACTTGTGAAAAGCAATACATATGACCCATGTGACTACTCTTAGGTTTAGGTTGTCTGTCAACATCTGATTGTAAAGCACCTAGCGTTACTAGTGCCACTTTAACACTGCATCCTTCATTGCTGGGACACAAAGTTTCCTAAAATATCCCAAATAGCATATTATCATGTAAACTAAGTACATCACTAATTTTAATCTCCTTAAAGAACTAGCTTGTGAAAAGTCTATCGCTTCTGCTTTCATAAACAATTCTGTCATTTCTCTTGTAACAAATCGTTAAGATTCCTTTGCTTCTTCATCATATTTAAAAACATCTCTATGTCATTAGCTCTGCTGATCACTGTCCTGCTGTCATTCTGCTTCATTTGTCAAGTTTTCATGGTCACAGACCTAGAGAACAAGCCAGGCTGGAAGGTGTCTCTGGAGATCACTGGGGTCCAGGACTTTCCTCAAAGCAAGTCAACTAGATCAGGGTCCTTGGGGTTTTGCCCAGTCAAATTTTAAATACTTCCAAAGGTCGAGATCCTATAGCCTTTCTGACTCTCATGTTTAACCACTCTCATGCTGAAAATATTTTTGCTAAGATTTAATTGGAATTTCCAATATTCCGGTGTGTGTCTGTTGCCCCTTATCTCACAGCGGTGCAGCTCTGAGACGTCTAGCTGTCTCCTCTTCACCCTCTCATTTGGCAGCTCCAGGCAGCAATGGGTTGTACTTGAGTGTTTTCTTCTCCAAGCTGAACAAATTTAATTCTCTTGAACTCCTCTTACACGTGTAGGCTCCAGCTTCTACATGTCTTGGTGACTTTTTCTCTAGTGCATCCATGTCTATCACACTAGGGAGCTCCAAACTGTACACACCATTTCAGATGTGCCTCATTAGTGCTGAGGAGAGGGTAACAATAATGTCTCTCCATCTTGTGTTTGGAAGCCAAGTCTAACCGGGCTGTTTTGGTTGCTGCTTCCTCCAGCTCAGGGCTGCCTGCATTTCCCTGCTGTAATGCCCTGTAGTTGCCGTTTGCCTTGGGTTGCAATGCATGCATCTGGGCAAGCTCAGAGAATGCTCTGAGGCAAATCAGTGCCATTTTCACAATGTCTGCATGGCAAGGGCTGTCCTGGCCTTTTGTCTATGCACAGTGTTTCACCTAGGTATGTCTGTGCACACCACCACTGCTTAACACTGACTGCTATCCTTGAACTCTTCCTCTTCCATGTATGTTTTAAAGGATGTTTTATAATGCATTATAAGTAAGGCTTTTCAAAAATTTCCTCTTTCAACCTTGAAAATAGGGAATTGGAATAAATAAAAGCACAGCTGAGCTGCGCATTTTTTAAACCCAGTGGAAGAGCACGAGCCATGAACCTGCAGGCTTAGCTCACTAACTGGCTCCATGCAGCAGCAGCAGCAGCGCCTAGGGGCAGGATCTCATTCTTCATATACAGTATGTCTATGTTGCCTTGCTTCACTTCCTATCCTGACTTCCTCCAAAACAAAAAAGAAAAATCACCTTATACAGCAGGTGTGGAGAACTACTCTTCCAGTGGTAGAAAAATGTTTTGAACGGATTTTCCCATTCTCCATATGCCACTCCACACAAAAACATATATGTGATGGTATGGAAATCACATATCAGGAGGGTAAAGCCTTTAGGACAGACAGTTTTTGGCTCTGTGCTTGTACTGTACCTGCCAGGCTGAGTTTCACGCTCATTGGGAAGGTCCTACAGAGTAATATGAATTACAGTAGCTTTTAGAGGACCCTTTCTTGGCACTTGGCACATCAAAGCTGCACAACTCACGGATCAGCAGTTTCTGCACAGTTTGAAGAAATGCAGTACTTGAATGTTCATGTTGAACTTTTCCAGGAAACTGAAGAGGATCAAATGAAGTGTTTTATTGAATTCTAAATACAGAGTATTTTTTTTTGCTTACATGCTTGTTTTCATCAGAAGAAATGTTAGAAAAAGAATCCCGTGGGAAATTAAAGGGATGGAATGTGCCAGAATTAAATATTCCTGCTTTGGAAGTTTGCCTCCCCCTCTCCATCATGAGCCATTGTGGGACTTTGATATCAAACCTATTTTTCACTTGACCGGATGTATTTTTGTTACAAAGCCCAGTCTTTTTTTGCAAAATGTAAATAAACGTTTTGCTAATCTGGCCAGATAGGATCACCACACAAAGAAGAGTGGTCTTGCTTTTGTAAGCTTATAGTTCATGGGGACTAGTATTAAATAGAAAAATCACTTACATCAAAATGTCAGGTTTAAAAATCTCATAGATAATGGTAAGCTGCCCATTATAATGTCACAGGAGCTTGTCCACTAAGTATTCACAAACACATCTGCAGCACCACAACTCATTTTGTCCGAAGCCATATCTGTTCCTGATATCAGAACTCTCCATAAATAGCAAGAGAATTCAAAGCAATATTTACAGGCTATTTCTTCTGTGAAGCTTCTTCTATAGCTGTTCTGTTCTCATAATGATATGCTGAAACCCAGTCAGAATATTTGAATCTTAGAGAAACAAAACACAGCTGAAGTAGCTGGAAGGCAAAGGGCTCAGGAGGCAATTTCCTCTGATTCATCAGGAGACAAAGGCAGAGCGATGACTGTATTTGTGTTAATAACAGTGGAATTGCCTCCCTGGCACTGTTACCCCCATATTTCTTTAGCTCTCGCTGTCGTGCTCCATCTTGTAGCCCCCCACTCCTCTGCTCTCAGTCACAGCCAGGCTCGATGAGTCCATGGACCTCCTGCCATCCCCATCCTGGGGCACTGCTCTGAGCAAAGTGGGCTGGTGAACCAAGCTGCCAAGCCCCATGCAGGTATTCCCATCACAAGTGCCAGCTTCACCATCAAAACCTAGTTTTCCTTACTCTGAGCTCTCTCATCATCCCCCATTAAAAATGAAGCTGACTTCACCCTTTCTTTGACAATGTCCGCTTGGTTGGGATCCCCTGTTGGGTGGAATGATGGTCAGGAGAACACTGTCAAGCTCTTTCACTGAGAGCAATTGGTGGGACCCAGTATCCCAGGCAGCTCCACTGGGTGCTGCAAAAGAGATGACGCCTTCCCTGGAGGATTGTCCCAGGGAAGATGGTGTTCTTTGCACATCTGTAAGTCCCCAGGTAGAGTCAGAAGACAGAGAGTACAATGCCATCAAATGAGGATTAAACTCTGTGCTGTATTGTAAAATGTCAACTAAATTAATTCCATCTATAAGCTCCCTGCACATACCCCAAAAGGTAGAAGCTAGAGAGACTTTCATACACAGACATTGGAGTGGAATTTCCACACCACAGTAGGTCTGGAGAGAATACTATGTAAATAAGAGTTTAGTCAGCCTCTGATTTCCTTTGCTATCTTCAAGATATTTGTGCTAATAGGGGAAATCTTTCCCTCTAACCAATGCTTGCTTGATCCTACGGGATTTATAATCTTGTAGTTTACAGTCCACTGCAATGAAAGGCATCTGATGGTGTCTCAGCTTTGTTTAGATGTGGCTTTTTGGTAGGACTTTGCAATGCAATAGCTGATCTCAGGAGCTGTCAGACCCACAGGCCAGGAGGGACTGTGGGCTCCAGTGAAGCATCCCTGCAGTCCCCACATTTTGCTGGAGCAGAGGGGCTTACTGGCACCATGGGCGCTGTGATACTCAGAGCTACAGTTTAACACCACCCACCAAGGGCAGATTGGGGTGCTGGACTCCACACTTCCTTAAATGCTAAAGAAGCAGCTGTGTTTGTGTATATATGCATATGCATATATGCATCTATTTACAGATCCAAGGAGACTAGCTGACTACCTTCCTAATAGTGTGCATCTTATACACTCAGTACTGTTATTATTATACACATTATATACCTTTATATATATATATATGTATATAAAACATAAAGCAATATTTTATATATATATACATACATACATATATACATATATATATATGGAAAAAACATTCATGGGCTTTAATTGCCGAACAAGCCTATTGAAACCAACCAGGCTGTTTCACCTATTTCTGCCATTGCAGCTGTGTCCAGACTAGGTCTCCAGAATCTGAGTTATAACCACTACTCTTGCAGAGAAAACAATCTCCTGAAATAACTCTGTTTCTGCACTTTCCACTTTCAAATATATTTGGAAAGTAATTGGTTTCTGTAAGTCACACAGAAGACTCTTGAGTGGTCTCCTGTTGTGCAGCACTTATGCCTGTTGCATCCCACCTGTCCTGTAAGCATCAACAGAAGCCAGTAATACTCATCTCAGCAGTGTCTTACCATTTGAAGGGCTGCGTCCAAAAACCTGGATCTCACCAGAAGTGACACTGGCTCCAGCTGAGGGGCTGCCTACATCTCTGTAACATGCAGTGACCACTAGTAGGCTTAATAGAAGTACAGAAGGATACGGCAAACATGTGATAATCCAGGACCTAGAGAATTCCCTCAGCCTCAAGGTTAAAAAGGTCATGCTAGTTTTGCAGGTGCAGGAATGAGAACCAACTGGCTCTGTTTGCAACCAGTAATGCCCCAAATTAAGAACTGAACCCACTTATTCTGGTAAATCAGAAAAATTGCATTTGTAATATGTAGGCATAAACAAGAGAGGTATGCAGGATCAGACTACCAACCTCTACTGCTGGGATTTAAAACCCAACTTTAGCAGGTGTCATTGTGGCCCAGAACACATGCTCTACACACAGTTGAGGAGATACAGTCTATGACTGCTCTTCAGGAAGCCTGGCACTTTAAGAGCATAGCAATTGCACAACACAGTAAAACAAAGCACCTCCAGCTATAAATCATGGTTGTTAAGTGAATGTTCTGGGATGCGCATCACGAGACACAAGAAGTGATCTGAAATTAGACTCAAAGCACACAAATCCCAGATTAACACTGCCAGTGGTTCTGTCTCTTTCCTGCTCTGGAAGGGTAAAGAACTCATCTGAAAGCAACGTCAGGGATTTATTGAGTATGGCTGTGGGTAACACAGAGCTGAAGTGTGGCTGTGGTTTTGATTTCTAACACTGCAGCAAACTGCAGGTAGAAACATTTTGTGCTCATTTTGGCACTCAGGACCTGATCCTCTCATCCACACAAAGGCCTTTTGGCAAGATAGTCTCTCCTGTTTCATGTCCTGCAGTGCAAGAAGGAAGCCCAGGCACTGCTGCCTTTTGTCCTGGCCTCTGCAGAAGCCCAATATTTTAGTAGAGATCAGAACAGCATTTCTTAGAGGTGGCAAATAATGCATAGCTAATCCATTAGCCTTAAACACGGAGCTAAAGGTCACAGTCTCAACACAGGCAGTGAAACACCAGAGGTGTAAATTTGCAGTGATACTAAGTAACTACAATTTCTGTAGGTTTAGAGGAGAATAAATCACAGTTATACTGAGCCAGCTGTACTGAGAGAGAGCTGAGAAGCTCTCTGGTGTCTCCTCCTTCCACTGGTAGAATAACTTATCCTTATGCTCTTCAACTGAGCCTCTTATGCTGCACTCTCTGAAGCATGCATCTAGAAATCTAAATGTTATGGTAAGTCTAAGGAAAAAATACATATAGTCGTAGAACTGTCTATTAAAACTAAAAGCTCTGAAGTAGAAATTTATGACAGTGTAATCTGAAAAGAATAAGGAGATAAAGGAATGTGAATGTTGTTTATGAAGAGAACACAGAGAATGAGAAAGAAGCCAAGAGACAATGCTGTCAGCACTGACCCTGCTAAGCACAGTCCTACCAAATGCTCTAAAACCCTCTTGCCTGCACCCTCTCTGTAGGCACCTTGTCAAGAGGCTTCATGCCAGGATGTGCTGTCCCCATGTGTAGGGTCTGCCAGTGTGAGGGTCTGCACCAAGATCTGAGGTGGAGGGGAGGGGGGCAGAAGGTGCACTCACTCCAGCTCTCACTAGAACTGGTTCAACAGAGGCTTGAGAAAGTTTTTCTTTAATTCCCCTTTTTACATTTTGTTAAGGTATGTTATCATATGGTCTAGTCAACTGTTGCTTCTACATCTCAGGAAAGTTTGATCTCAGGGATGGCTGGGGGGCCAAAGGGGGAAATTGGCTCTGTGTCTCTCCTCCTCTGATTACCCATCCTTGTGTCTCTACCCTGGCCTGCTGCAGGGAAGGCAATGGCGTTCAGAGCATTCTGCAGGTACCTTCTCTTCCTTCCTCCCTAACTCCCATGTATGATGGGTTTTTTTCTGTCAGGGGTTTGGTTTTTGACAAAAGGTATGAAAGGGAAAACAGGGAAGGAGAACAGCAAAAATCAGTTCAACAAGGAAACATAGGGGTAAAGGGTAAAGCAGCATCTGACAGCCACACCAGGGCCCCAGAAAAGCTTCCTCCCCATCAAACCCTGGACAGGTGTCCCAGAACATGCTGAAATATCTTTGGGCTGGAATATCCAGGGGACCCCCCGCCACAAGGAGCAGGCAGAGTTTTACTGGCAGGGAGATACCTGGGATGCCATCTTGGTCCTCCGTGTCCCTGGGTGTGGCTGGGACTATTCCCCTCACTGTTCTGCTAGGCTGTTGTCCCCTCACATTCCACTGGGGATCCGTTAAGTTCTGTTGGGGTTCTGCTGGGGTTCTATTGCCATAGTTCCTGTATTGCCACATCACATGTTGTCAGACAGGGAGGTGGGGGCTCCTGCCAGCTTGCAGCCCTTCCTGGACATTTTGGCGAGGCTATGGGAGCCTGGCCAGAGTGGGGGAATGGAGGGGATAGGGACTTGCTGTGGTGGAGGACGTGTGAGATCACATCCAGAGAGGTGGGGCCAGCCTGGTATGCTGGAAGTGGGAGGCCAGTCTGTGAGCTTGAGGAAGGATCAGTACTGCTTGCACCTGAGGTACTCTGCCCCTAGCAAGCCCTGAGGGAAGTTAGGTGAATTGCCCTCCTGTGCTCCTCTAAAGACAGAGCCTGGGCATCTCACCTTGCTTGATGAGGAGAGGTGGGCTCATCTGTGTAAGGCATGGTGGATGGGTTCCAGCCAAGGCTCCCTTGCTGTTCTTTTTGCCGTGTGCTGCCTCTTGAGCCTTCCCTGTCATGAGCTGCCCCCATGGTCCCCAGCACACCATCATCCTCACCCAATCCAGCTGCCAGTGCTGGGACATGGAGTGCATTTGTAACCCATGCTGTCCTCCAAAGGGCTCTCTAGCTTGTTGGGTTTGGGTGCTTTTTTTCCTCCCATCCAGAGGTCAAATAAGGTTGCTACTTATTCTGGCAGCTGAGCGTCTGAGCTGGAAGGGCTTGGTGAAGTTGCAAAGGCAAAAACTGCTTCTACTTTTCATTCAGAGATTTCTTGAAAGGAAAGCCAGGTTTAAAGGAACACGTGCTCGAGTCCAGTTGTGAGATGTACTGGTGTTGTTAGGAAGTTGTGGTTCCATCTCTTCAGCCTCCAGCTGTGCTTTACCCTCTGCAGCCAGTTCCTTTAAATCCCTCCATCAGACTCTGCGGGATATTTTCCACTCTGGTAACTGTGTTCATTGCAGACCCAGGGACTGGCCTTACAAGATGCACAGAGAGGAATTTGCCTTGTGCAGGGTAGTGTCTTGGTGGTTTTTTTAATGTTATAAGGGAACAAAGGACAATGGGTGAAACAAAAAAACACATGATCGGGTCAGCAGCCACCCAGCTAGGCTGCCTGCAGAGCCCTATGCTTTGTGTTCCCTTCAGCTCTATGCCACAGCCTGATTTTCCTTGTTGTGGGACAAGCCATAAAAATTGAACCAAAATGCCAGTGCATTTGTCATGTGGTCTTAGAAGTAACAATTGATTTGGTGGGACTGGAGGAGTTTTCCTCCTCCTGGCTTCTGCTGCAAAGGGTGGAGAGAAAGCACCAGATGATGGTCAATTTGATGATCAGATTTGTCCCTGATATTTCCCAAATGAAGTCCTAAGGGTGTAGAAGTTTCTCATGCAATGCTACTGTCATAGGTGGGCTGGGGCACAGCTTCCCATTGCAAAGCAATGAGTGGTTTTGTGGAGGTAGGGGACATTCCTTAATGTATAGTTATTTAAATCAAAATCATTTATTGTACAGTACATACCTCTAATATACTATAGATTTTATAATTGACTTGAATTTATCAGTAGGAAAAAGTCAATTCCTGCATGGCAGGGCAGCCAGAGGAAAGAATGCTTTAGTCTGCTCAGCAAATAGAAACCTATTTGTAATCCAAAGGCCCTCCATTAGCTCTTACCTATTTAATGTAAAAACAGGATTTACTACACATACAACTTAATCCCCTTTTTACATTTGCATAGAGATCCCGGAGCATGTGTATGAATGGTTTTTGAGATAAGAGAGAGAAGGCCTCGGGAGTCAAAGTCATTGTTTTTGCATGAAGTATTTAATTCTAAACATAAATATTGAGAAGACTAAATTCCTGTGCGCTTGCAGACTTCACTGTCATGCTCCTGAGGATTTTTGCTTTATTTCCAATTATTAAGAGCCTCATTGTAAGTGAATGAAAAAAAATGCAGGAAGCTTTTACAGACACTTATGGGGCTTCATTTTCAGGTTAAAAGGAGAGACAGGCTATAGACAAAACAGAAGCAAAGGTGGTGTACTTCTTATCTCCCTCCAAAGAGTGTGGCTAAGGAGTGGATGTGCCAGGCTGTAGAAGCCAAGCCCCAGAAAAGGACTGTCTCCAGTGATGACCTCGAAGGGGATTGAGGCTGGAGTTCCTGTGGTGCACATTCATCAGGCTTGCTTATTGTAATTCTCATGATTTATGTTCTCACAATCATGATTAGGTGGTGAAAAAAAAATGATCTACGTGCAGGTTGACTTCAGAAAGTGACATTCTTTGTTCATATCCAATCAAGCCCCACGGCAGGCAGCCCTTTTTATTTAGCATTAATTTTAATATGTGTGTCCCTGAAAATAACCCTCCTGGTTTTGGAAACCTCAGAGATGAAGGACTATTGGCTAAGTACTGGGCAGAAGATTGTGTCTGAGAGCTGTCATTGCTTCCTCCAGAGGCAGTTTTGCTACAGTGACGAATGGGAGGCACTGGCATGAAATTCATTTTTAAAATATAGTCAAAGACAACTTGGTGGGGAAATTTACTTCTCCAGACATAAAACAGGGACCAGAGGAACTCTACCAGAATGTCTTTCAGAGTTGCTGCGATCTCAGTGGTGCAATGCAGCGAGCAGCAGGCTTTTGCCTTACTGTAGGCAAGGTAATCAGAACAATTTTTGCTCTTTTGCTTCTAAAGTCCATGATAAGACTAGTAAACGCATCTTCCTTTGGATGTAAAATCCCTCACTCACTTGATGTTGTTGTGACTTCAATAGGCCAAGATTTTACACCAAAACCTCCTTGTTGCTACCTCTCAAAGCTTTCCAGGATAGTCCAGTAACAGTTTGATTCTTGCCTGCTGACAATATAGGCTCTTCATTTCAAGTCAAAGAACAGAAACTAGCAAACTGCATGGGTACTGCTCTCATTCTTACTCCTAAACCAGCCCTAGGCAGCATTTCTTCATCATCTTGCTTTATCAAACTTGAAAAGCAAATCTTGACTAATAAGCAGGAACAGTTTGTGGCCAGTCAAGCAGGAAAACAGCTCCACGGGTATGAGGAAGGAGGAAATCAGAAGAAATCTGTTACTTAACTACTGTAGGCTGAGAAAATGAGCTTGAACCCAAAACTTGTGTGGGTTCACTCAGACAGACAAATGAACAGGAACATTTTTATTAGCATGCTACATACCAAAATTAAGGAACTGTTCTCTTCTAATGTTTCTGAAACCATTAGCCAGACACACTACGCTGGTGACAGCTTTTGAGTGGTTCTCCCGCCCTACAATTTTTCTCCCATGAACAGAAATCTGTAGTGCTGATTGCAAAGGACAGATACCTAATTATAGGGCTTGTTATCACTAGAGTCTGGGAAATATAAAGTCTGCAATTCGTATGATGTAGAGAACGATGAAGCATCTTGAATCACTAATGTGACTCAAAGTAGGGTCTACTGGAATTTGCACGTTTATTTTCCCTGTTAAATCTGTGGGAAAGCCTGTTCGCAACAAGGTTTGGAATCCTTTGCAGTTCTTTTTCTTGACTTTTGTCAAAACTAAACTTTGAAGGTTTTCCTGACATCTTTATCCCATCAGTCTGTCAGTCAGTCTCACAATGCCCTTCATGCAAACCTATCAGGGCATTCTATAATCTAGCGTTTAATAGACGTCTTGAAGGCAAACAGCGTTTGACAACACCTCAAAGGATTGAGATCCTGCTGCATGCAGGCACAACCCAGCAAGCTTCTGGGACGTGTTGTCTCTTTGCTACCCTTGGTGCATGCCCTTGACTGACCACAACATAGCCAGCTTGTCCTCAGGTATGGCTAACAGGGAACGATTTCGGGAAAGGATGGGAGCTGGGCTGTTTCCAGGTAGCACACATCTCCGTCCCTGCTAGCAGTCTGCTTCATTCTTGCACTCAAAACAGATACATTGTTTAGACTAAAATGACATCAGGGAGGGAAAAGAAAGCATTCAATAGTGAGGATGTGAAATGAGGGAAAACAGGCACTTCTTACTGTGTTGCTGAAGGCTTTGTAAAGATAACAAGCCATTAAAATTTATGACTGAGTTCTCGGGGTAGTACTGGTTCGGTTGTTTTTATGCTGCAGTTGCCTGCACAAATTTTGGACTGCTTCTGACCCCTCTCCCCTGCTGCATTTTCCTCCCTTCCCCCTGCCCCTTTCTGTGAGATATTTGGTCCTTTGAATAAATTGCACCTCTTCATTTTTCACGAGCTCATTGTCAACTCTAGTGCCTGTCTCTAAAGGACAGTTCATCAGGTGGAGTTAACCTGTTCGGTGATAGTGTAAAGCACATCTGAGTTTGTCTCTTTCAGTGGACATTCCTAGAAATTTCCTGTGCTAGTACTCACTCAATGAGTGCTGTGTCTTCATGGCTTGAAAAACCCAACTCCAGAGTCCCTGTTATGTGATACATGGTATACATGGGGAGAAAACTTCATATTTCTTCACAATTTTAATCTGGGAAAAAAATATAGAAGAAAAGGTCATTTCTAATTCCAGGGTCTTCAATTTTCACAAGAAAAAAATATAGATTTTCCAACTCTTCTTCCTTCTCACACCCTCTTCTGTGACTAACATATCTTAGGCTAGTTCTAAATTTCAACCAAACCTCAGAAGAGACACAGCTCATAATCAACAAATTATGACCAGCCAGACACTGAGTCATCAAGTGCAAAAGGGAATAACAATGAAAAAACAAGGATAAGAAAGAAGAATGGTACATTCTTGAAATTGGATGAAAGACATTAGACAGTAATGTGCAAATGCATGAAGGAATGCCAGAGCAATTTAGGTTAGAAGGATGTGATAGTTAAACCCACCTGAATAGTGGAAATCTTAGTCCTTGTAAATTTTGGGGGAAACCCAGGGAAGGTTCTCAGAAGAATGGGATCTTTATGTTGCTAATGAGCTGGTGACTGTGGGATTCTGAAGCAGCTGCAAATGATATAAAGAATTTACTAGGGAAGTTGAATATGGGAAGC